CTCAACATCTGAGGTGTTAGGGTGCACGGTTAGTGGCTGGGAAGGCAGAGCCAATATGGTCACTAGAGAAACCATCCGTGGGACAGAACACCCTGGGGGGGGGGGGGGGGGGGGGGTGCGATCAAACTGCGGGCCAGGAAAAAAAAAATGGGGACAAGGGTGGAGGAACCAAGTGATTTGCTCTGTAACTGGGCAATTTAATGCCAGAGTTAGGGAGCTGCTGGCCGGAATCATTTTGTCTTCGGAGGCTCTGCGGAGCTCATCCTCTTCATCCTGTTGTTTAAAATGAGCATTATCCCAAACATATGCAATGCAATCAGTTTGGTCACACTTACAAGAACACGCTTTAATAAGGCAATCAATCACACGCTAACAAGCCGGCGACGGGCCGGCGCTGAGCGTGCACTCCGGCTGCGGGACGGCTGGTCTTGCCCGGCCCGGCGGACTGCGGCTGAGCGCTGGTCTGCTCTCCCAGATCCCCACGCCGCCGGGTCGCAAGGGGGTTGAGGAGCCCAGGGAAAGTGTGTGTGTGTCGGGAGTGAGGTGTCAGACTTTGCAGGGGTGACGGTGGACTCTGGGCCCCATAGTGGCGCGGGGGAGGGGAGGGGAAGCCCGAACTTGAAGCTCATAGCTGCATGGGACCCTAATAGCTGTGTGAGACCCAGAGCCTCCGTTTTCCCACCTGCAAAATGGGACCAAGATGGGGCAAAGCTAAGCAGAGGCTTTTAGACAGTTGAAAAAAATAATAATACCACGCCAACCCTGTTGTTTGTTTTAGCCTTCTTTTACAGACAAGGAGACTGAGGCTGTGGAGGGGTGGTGCCTTCTTCAGGGTCATCTCCCACCCTCCCCCACTTCCGCCAAAATGTAGGGATCAGGCCAGGGGCGGTTGCCAGGTGCAGGCGGGCAAAACCTGTTTTTAGGTGCAGGGGTGGAGAAGGGAGAGTGAGAAGTGGTGCCTAAGTGCCAAACCGCAAACCTTGGCAAAAGGGAAATTTCATTATGAAGTAATGAGTAATTCCTCCTGGCAAGATGTATTGTTATATCTTCCACTTCAATTTGGAGGAAGAGAGGCTCAATTACCCAGAAAATACAGTCAATTAAAGGCTGCTGATTGGACACGAGGCCGGATCATCGATCTTGTACTTTCCAATATCGCTGCAGACACCTCATTTTCCCTCCCTATTAACTGAAAATACGCCTGGCATTACGGCAACCCGCAGCCCATTTACCTGTCGCAAGCAATCTGGGCCTGCCGCGAAGTAACCGCGAAATTTGCCCGAGTTTGGCACGGGGAGCTTCCCGGGCTGCAGAGGTAGCTGCGAAAGGCTGGGGGTGGAGGAGGGAAGGGGAGGAGGATACTGAAAACCTCAGCTCAAGGCTTTGCTTGGGAGGGCGGGAGGGTTTCTCTGGAACCCACAGAGGGATGGAGGCCGATTGAGGGTTCCCCATCTGCCCACAGAGACACGGGCGGGGACCCTTGAAGTCCACGCAATTCCGCGCTCCCAGTCTGCCCATGACGCCCATCTCTCCCCTGCATGTCCGGTGGCTCTCCTCCGGGGATGGAGGTTGGGGGTGAGGTGGCTGAGGGGGGCACCACCCCCTAGCCCTGACCAGGCCAGAACTCCATTCTGGGAGAGGACTTTCCGTTTGAAGAGCATTCAGACCCACCCTTGCCGACCCAGGAATCCGTCTCCCTCCTTTCCCTGAACCCTAAGGTGCAGACTCAGCTTGACCCAGCAAGCCCAGCTCGCTGTAATTCTCAAGCTCCACCCTCACTGCCTCATTCACCTCTAACCTTGGGTTGGGGGTGGAAGCAGGATCCACAGAGACCTTAGTCCAGGGTGCCCTTTCCTCCAAAGTTTGGAGCAACTGGAGAAGAAACCATCGCAGGGGTGAGCCCCAGGTGGGCCAGTTCAGCATGGAAGGCCCCCAGCGTGCAGGGAATTAAGAAAACATGCACCTCGGGGCAGTCAGGGCCTGTCTTCTCCACATCTATGCCATGTCCTGTCTCTGCCAGGGCCAGCAGAAGTTTGGGAGACTGTCTGCAGGTGCACGTCTTGGTGCCTTCTATACCTGAGCTTCTGGTGGCCGACCTAGCAATTCAAAGAGTCACTGCACTGCCTGCTGCCCCAAACATTAAACTGTTAAAGTGAGAATTATGTCCAGCTTTTATTGCAGTATGGTTAACAAATTGCAACAGCAGGTTCGTCAGGCTTCGAAGGAAAACCAAACCGAATTCATTCCCTACTGGAAGAAACACTCCCTCCGTCAGGGTGAAGCTTGTTATTGAGGGGTACACGTTCTCCTAGCCCTCAAAAACTGGCTGCAGGAATGAGGGTGAGAGTGAGAGTGTGGGCGCAGCCCCCAAACAAAACCTGGTGAAGGGGAAGGGCAAGGTCCCCAGAAGGGGCGGAAGGCTTCTGCTAGTGTCTGAAAGCCAAGCCTCAGTGGCAGCTTGGGAGGAAAAGGAGAGGAAGAAGGACGTAAAATGCCAACTGTACCGGGAAGAGCCAGAAAGCTCTTGGTGAAGGGAAGGTGAACAGGCAAGGGCTTGAAATCGCCTCTAATTTGCTGGCAGATACTTAGTGAGGGAAGGAGAAGAGGTCCCTGCTCCCTAAGCTCTTCCCTGGGCGCCTTGTTAACAGCTCAACTCTGGGCTCCGTGGCACGGTGATCATTATTATACATTCAGCATTCAAACACCCTCCTCACACATATCACTTGCTAATCAGGGTGTGTATTGGGCCCGGGGAGAAGAGAGACTTGGTAGAAGCTGCCAAGAGGCCCTGAGGCCTCCGCAACGTCTCTGCCAATGCTAAATAAACAAAAAGTGGGGGTAGGACGGAGGTAGGAGGAGAGATGATGGAGCTGCAAGTTGAGAGATGGCAGGAAGCTAGGAGAGAGACACGAGATCAGGTGCTGGGAGATGCCAGAACGAGAAAATGTGTAACTGAGGCTCCAGGAAGGCAAGAGAGCCCCTAGGTTCCATGGGAGGGCCAGGATCTTCCGTGGTAGTAAATCACCCCTCCCACTCTCTCCCCTGGGCGGCTGGTGCATCGCCATCCACAAGCCCCTTGCCGTGCCTTGGAAAAGCTGGCAAAGATTAATCTCTACCTGCCCTGCATACACAGCATTTTGTTGGGAGAGACAGCAGTTTCCTTTCCAGTGCTTGGGCTTGGCCTTTGGGGGAAGGGGGGTCCCGGGTGAGGCAAGGGTGTGAGGTGGGGGTGTGAGGAGGGACTGAGGGGCTGGATATCGGTGGCTGCTGCTACTAAATTTGTTTGGCTTTGGAGCCATGGCCTCAACCCCCGTCCGGGGCACGGGGTCCGGTGAAAAACGGCTGAGGGGCCGCCCCAGAGGAAGGTCTCTCGGCCTCTGCCTCCCCATCCCCACTCCTGATCCCCAAACGCGCCAGCCACTGCCGCTCCCCAGGCGTCCTGATCCTGGAGGCCGAGTCCCTCTGGTCCTTTTCGGCCCGCTTCTTTCCCCCTCGGTGCCCTGGGGGCAGGGAGGGGCCCTGGCTGAGTCCCCACGCGGGGGGGGGGGGGGGGGGGGAGCCCACGGGCGTCCTGGAGCCGGCGGCCCGCGGGCAGCCCCTTATCTGGTAAGGGGCACCTCTTCTCTCTGGTCCAGGGCGACGGAGGAGGCCTTGCTGAGCACGGAGGGCGCGAAGGTGAGGAAGGAGTCCGAGCGGGAGGTGGAGGCACAGGTGAAGTCCGAAGCGGCGGCGGCGCGGGGCGCCAGCCCGTTGGCGGGGCCGCTGTGGCAGGCGAGGCAGGAGCAGGGCCCGCCGGTCGCCGCGCCCAGTCCGTGCGCCGGGCCGGGGTAGAGCGGCGGGTGGCGGAAGGCGCACAGCAGTTCGGGCCGCGGGTAGGGCTGCGACAGCACGCGGAAGGTGTCGAGAGGGCGCAGCGGGCCGCTGAAGGGCGAGGCGGCGGCGGACGCGGCGGACGCGGCGCCCAGGCCCACGGGCGAGTAGTAGGGCAGGGGCAGGTGCGACGGGAAGGGGTAGGGCAGGCCGCCCGCGGCCGCCGCGTGGCTCATCATGTACGTGTAGAAGGCGGGGTCGGCCGGGTGCGGCCACGTCATGGCCAGCCGCTGCCGCTTGTCCTTCATGCGCCGGTTCTGGAACCACACCTGGGGAGGAGAGGGGCAGGTTCGGCGGCTGCAGGGGCGCCGGCCCGGGCGCACGGAGCCCCAGGAGTCCTGTCCCCGCGGCGGGGGACGATGCCGGTGGCGCTGGGAAGAGCCGCGGCAGAGACCCTCTGGGCGGGGGCAGAGCCCCGCCGCCACCACCTGGCGCTGGAATCCCCCGTGGAGAGGTTCGGGGAGTGGCTTCAGGATCTGTCCCTCCTTCCCTCTGCCAGGGCTCCCTGGAGGGCCAGCCCGGTGTGGACGCGCAAGTAGCCCGGTGGACTAAGGACTCTGCTGGTCTGAGGTCGCAGGCAGGGCTTCCCCAGAAACACCGCCCCTTCCAGCCGCTCTCCCTCGGGGCAAAGGCACCCCATCCCCGCTGTTTGTTTGGCTAGAAAAGGCAGAGAGTCTACCGCAAGCCAGCAGGTCCCGCCTAGGGTCTGTCGGGAAGGTGAAAGTGCACACACCTGGCGCCCGCACCAGGCCTCGACACCCCCGGCCTAGCTGCCACGTGGGCTGGGAGACCCCAGGCTGTGATTCTTGGCCCAGGACTTAGGGAGTGGACAGTTGGTATTTACTTCCTGCTGAGTGGGCGCACTCCTTCTCCCCGGTCTCGGGCGCATACCTTGATGGTGGTTTCCGGCAGGTTTAGGGCGGCGGCCAGCTCGCATCTCCGCGGCCTGGATACATAGTTCTCCCTGTAGAATTCCTTCTCCAGCCGGGCAATCTGCTCCCGGGTGAAGGCGGTTCGGTATCGGCGCATCTGGTCACTGGCGCTGCAGGCCAGGGTGCCCTGCGAGCTGCCGCTGCTGTTGCTCTTGGGGGCCTCGCTGCCGCTGTTGGGACTGCTGGCCGGTGCCTCTGAGCTGGGCCCTGCATAGGGAGCCCAGAGCACATGCACACACAGAACACACAACAGACACACAAAACGCTGCTGATGTGGGGCTGTAGGCCCAGGGCATATATGAAAGGTGGGGGAGAAGGGGACACAGCCTCAGTTTCTGCCTCTGCTGGGGCCTGGGGGACTTTGAGAACAGGGAAGAGAGGTGGGGGGCGGGGGGGGGGGTGGCTCACCATCCAGACGATTGCAAAGCAGCCCTTAGGCCTGGCCGGGCTGCTGTCTGGGAGACCTGAGTCTTGAGGCCTGCTGGGTACAGAAGCCGCAACCACCCTGGCCCCTTGCCTTGCTTGGGGCACAGACTGGAAGCAGACCCTCTGAGCTTTGTGCCCCCCGTTGGCAGGAGTGGGCAAGGATGTGCATATCTGCCGGGCAAGTTGAGATGCACCTTTGGTACTAGAGTGTTGTGAGCTCTGGGGTCTTCGTGCCTTGCAGGATGCGGTGCACAAACTGAGTTTCGTTGCTTTTGTGTGTGCCAGGCTGCCGGTGTAGGTGCGGGAATGTATACTAGGCTGCATGTGCATAGGAGTGTGTGCGTGAATATCCTATCGCCTTCATAGATTTGAGCGGCCCTTGGCTTGTTCTGAGGGCATGCTGTGGTTAGGGAGTCTGGGTTGAATGGATAAGATGGTAATGAATGGACATGGGTGTTCAACCAGGTGTTGGCTGCCAAGGCCAGGGGGTGGTTTTCTGCCCTGCCATGGTCTTCCCATCTCCCCCCACAGCTCGGTGGAGGAGTCTGCTGCTGGGCTCTCCCTCCTACTAGCTTTCCACCCCTCTTTGGGAGACTCCCTTCTTGGCCACCTCCCCCACAAACTAGCCCCTCGTCTGGGAGGGGTTCTCCAGTTAAAGCAGCAGGACAGCACCCCTCCTTTTGGGTCTAACCCGAGGAAGGGTGGGGCTCCTGCCCCCCGCAGCTCCTTTTTCCTTTGGGTGGAGAAGTGGGACTGGGAAGGAAAGGGGAATGGGGGAGGGCCAGAGCTCTGCCTTTTCAAATGCAACCGGAGACCAAAGGCAATTAGATCATTGGGACCATTTCCGACCTGGCGCCACCGAGCCCGGGAAGTGACAAGGTAATTTGGACCTCTGACCGACGTGCAAACTGGTCGGAGGGCCGCGGCACCCAGGCAGCCCGAGTCGGCCGCGGTTTTACGGTCCTTTATGGACTCTGGGCTTCCGCGCCTGGATGCGCCTTACACCCCGCCGGCCACAAACTGCCCGGACCCGCGTTTGATCTCGCCCACGCCGGGGGGAAGGTGTCTTCCCCAAGCAGTTGAAGCAGTACCACAAAACTCTGGGGGGTTGGGGTGCGCTTTGAACCCCCCTCAAGCCCAGGGCTTGCGTCTCCCTCCTCCCGGAAAGCACAGCTGTCACCCTCAGTCCCGCCAATGCCAGAGCACAGAAGGAGACCCCAGCCAGGGCGCAGATAGCTGGGGAGAGTTGCTCAGGTGGGTCCCCCCAGCCACCCTGCCCTGGGGGGAAGGAGTGTCTTCCTCCCCTCTGGAGCTGAAGTGGAAGGTGGGCGCGATGGGAGGCCCGGGAAGAGAAGGGGGCGCGATGGCTACCTTTGCTGTGCTGGTACTCGGCGTTCGCCGTGGCGCAGTCCGGGGTGCAGCTCACCTCGATTTCTTCATAGAAATCCGACTCGGTGTCCGAGCTGCTAGGTTGCCCCTGGCCCGAGAGGCTGTCGGCGGAGGGGGCCGGAGGTCCGGGGCCAAGCACTGCAGCCCCGGCTGCCCGCGACTCGGCGCCCGGCCCGGGAGCGCTGCCTGCTAGTCCGTCGACCGGCTCCTCCTCCAGGCCTGCCCCGCCGCGCTCCCGGGCGGCCGGAGGACCGGCCCGCGGGCTCAGGCAACCACGGGGCACCATCTTCTCGGGCGGCTCGGGCAGCGGGCTGCCCACGGCTTCGGACAAATTGGAGACTCTCTTGCCAACCAGAGTACCAAGCTGACCCGCATCCAGAAACATAACCATGTCCTTTCGGCTCTCCATCCCGGGGCTCGCCGGAGGGGGGGGGGGAGGGAGTAAGCCCCAAGTGAGCTCCTAGCCCCCGTCTCCCTGGGTCCCCAGCGGCCCGACAGATCTTGGCTTCGGGAGGCAGAAAGAGAGGCCAGGCGACCGGGCGGGCGCGGAGCGGCCGGAGCGCGATGTCGACGGTGACGGCGGTGGCGGCGGTGGGGAGCTGGGGTCACCTTGTGATGCGAGCGCTCCTCTGTGCCGCACCGCCTCTGGGAGGAAGCCCCATTGCCCTCTTCTTTCTAAGCTGTCATCCTCCTAAGCTGCAATCGTCATTACAGTACCGCTGGTGACGCCACTCGGCGAGCGCAAGTGGATAAATAGAAACGTCTGCCACAGCGAAGATGAAAGGAGCCCCGCAGCTAATGGCTCGGCAGTGATGCGCCAGGTGTGGGCCTGGCTCGAATGGGGAGGAGAGTGTGAAAACAGAGAGATACACACACTGAGAGAGGGAGACACCCAAGCAGAGGGGATGCAAATGGCATTCTGCAGAAAGAAAAAGAAAGCTTAAGGCGCGCCGCGAGTTCCGCAGGAGCTGCGGGACTCGGTAATTGAATAAGCTTCTGTTTTGTGTGTGTGTGTGTGTGTGTGTGTGTGTGTGTGTGTGTGTGTGTTTTATTGTTGTTTTGGCTTTTGTTTTCTTAACTTGGTGCCTTGATCTAACGTTTGATGAGAGAATCCATGACTGCATTTTAAAAGTGTGAAGGCCGGCTCACAAGCCTCGCTTCTCTCGCCCTTACAACTGCCTGTGCTGGCGGGCTAACCTCGCAGGGGCTCCAAAGTCTTTTTACAAGCTACCGAAAAACACATTCCCTCCTCCCACCGGTTGTCTGGAGAGTTTGAGCCCGGGGTATCCTTTCCTCTCTCTTCCTCCTCCCACCCCCCTACCCCCAGATGTCTCCTTCCTCCTGGAAACCAAACGAGAACTTTGCTATTTTTCTTCCCCAAGGGGTAGGAGATAAATGCGCTAATGCTTTTTCTTTAAGGACCTGCTTTGGCTGCTGACTCCACAGGCTTGCTGATTTTTTTTTTTTTTAACTCCCCTTCCCCATCTAGGTGGCCTTAAGCTTTCCACAGCTCGGCTTGACCTCCAGGTGGCTATTCATAGAAGAAATTGTTTTCCCATTTGCTTGGGCCTCGCCTGCGCTTCAGGTATGTAGGGTGGGGAGAGGTTCTAAGAGTGGCCTTTTTCTTTTTTCTTTTCTTGCCCATATTTTAAGGTATTCGTTCAGAGTCAACGAATTCCTCTGCAAACAGGTTTTGCGAGTGAGGAGACACTAAGAAGTGCGGCCCCTGCAGCGGCAGCAACGGAGGCTCCCAGCTGGGAGAAGGTGCTGTTCTCATCTAGAGACTGGGGGGCAGGGGAGGGGTTGAGAGTACCCCAGCACGTGACATTGGGGTTCACAGAGCTTGGACTCCCAGGGTCCTCCCCCAGGTCCTGTCTACAGGCTTCAGTGGCACTGGGGCTAGAAGAAAGAGAAGTCACTGAAAATGCCCTGAAATATCAAGTGACTAGGGGTGCTCATAATCTTTGAGGGCAAAGGGGAACCTCCAAGGCAAGGTTGGGGGTAGTTTGTAGTGCTTGCTGTCTTTGGAAGCAGCCACAGGCTCCCTCTCTCAGCTCTGCTTCCAGGGAAGGTACACTGGAACCCATTAGGAAACTGACCCCTTGCCAGCTCTGAGCAAGTGTGTTGGGGCCAGGCAGGTGGGCAAGGGCTCTCCCCACTTTGCCCAGGGCAGGAGGCAGCCCTCTTCTCCACTGTCCTATCCCTCCAACTCTCCTTTCTCTGCCCCTTCTCCTTTCTCAGAGCTTCTGGTTCTAAGCAGCTAGGGCTGCCCCTGTACGCCGCCGCCCCCCCCCCCCACTTCTTCTCAGTGTCCCAAGACCAAGCTCCAGTTTCTGAGATTCTAAAGAAAAGTGTTATCACTATCTTTTATTTTTTTGTCTTCCTATTTTGCTTTCCTCCATATTCTCTTTCTCAACTCTTCTCGCTCTTTCCCCTGCCTCTGTCTTTCTCTCGGTGGGTTTGCGGAGGTGGTGGAGACAGCAAAGCATTCAAGCAAGACAAAGTTCCCTCCTCACTGCTGCTTTCTACTGCCCCTGTTCAGTAAGAAGATGCTCATTCACCTCAGCTGGGGATGGGGGCGGGGGTGGGGGGGGTGGAGAAGGTAGGGGGATCCAAAAGGTAAGGTAATGTTGGCCTAAACATCTCCACTCCCTGGGACTCCTGAAGCAACCATCTGCTGAGCACTGCTAGATTAAAACTCCCAGGGAATATTCGAAAGGTGAGAGGAGCGACTGGGAGTGGGGATCAAATCCCAGAGCCTTTTGCCGCGTTGCAGAGTTGTCTTCGGATTCTGTCGCGTGCCCTGCCCTGCCCAGCCAGCAGCCAGAGCCTGAGGGAGCACCTGGCTTGCTCTCTCCTTCCTGTCCAAGTCGAGCCCGCGGCGCCTGTGTTCCGAGCTGCCTCCGTTGGGCCCTTCCAACCCCGGGCCTGGGTCTCGCCCACCCTCTGCCCGCCCTGTGAGCCTGCCGCCTTCTCACAGCCTCTCCCGCTGCGCTCACCTCCTTGGGGCCAAGTCCTCTGAGGGACTCCAGTCGCCCCGCCCCGCCCCCAGCTTTGCATTCAATGGGAGTGCTCTGCGTTTGATCCTCTTTTCCTCTGGGTTTTTCCTGCGAGATGAAAGCCGTGTAGGATTGAAAGATCAAGAGGTACCCCTTGCGTCTCCTTCCTGGGTCCGGCCCACCCAAGCGGGGCTTCCCCCGCCGTCCCAGGGAGGAAGGAGGCTCCAGCCAGGGCTCAGCCTCTCCCGGATGGGGGGCATGCCTCCTCAGGGTTTCGGATCTGAAGCTTCTGGAACGCCCCCTCTGCCCCATCCCTCTCTGGACTTCTGCCTCCGCCCTTTCAAAGGATCAATTCCCCACCTCACCCCACCCCCTCCGTCCCCGGTCTCAAGGGGCCTATTGCGCCGTCGGGCGCGGGGGGGGGGGGGGGGGGGGAGCAAAAAAAAAAATGTTAACCAAATGTCACTTCTTCCAAAAGCATCCTTTCATCAACATCAGAGGAAGAGAGGTTGGAATTTTCACTAGAGGAAGAAAACACGAGGGGACTGAATAAGAACACTATTTCTGTTTAGTCTTTTTTTTTTTTTTTTTAGGGTGGGGAAGGGTTATTTTAATAGTGTGGTTATTACTGTATCAGGAAGATTATTCCCGACGACACTGCCCAAGAAGCAAGGTAAATGCGTAGAGGGAGTCAAGTCCGCAGCCGCAGAGGCCTGGGAAACCCCATAAACGCAGAGAGGGGGTGATAGCAACCTAAGTGGGGTCCGTTTTCGGCCCCGACTGCTCCCTCTCTCCCTTCGGCAGGGACGACCCCCTCCCCCCACCCCCGTTGGCCTGCTGGCCCCTCCCCCGCTGGGGCGACGGGTTTAGGTCCCGCCGCCTCCTCTCCGATTGAAATTCTCGGGACTTCAAAAGCTTGAGGCTCCGCTTCCGCCCGGGCAGGGCTGGGCCGGGGGGTGGGTGGGAACCCCGGGGAGGCGACGCGGAGATAAGATGCGCGGCTCGTGTTAAATGGAATCGGAAGCCGAGCTTGGGCCACCAGACGCGTTGATCCGCTGGAGCCGCTACGCTTCCCAAGAAAACCCCGCTCGGGAGAGCGGCGGCAGGGGGTGGGGAAATGCCTCAGTGGCCTTTGGACCCTGCTTGGGTGCGACGATCTGCGGCCCTGGGGACCTTCTCCAGCCAGGTGCGGGGTCTCCCAGAGGCGAGTACACGTCCCGGCTGAAAGGCAGGGGCGCAGGTTTCCGGGAACTGGTTTGGCTGCTTCGGTGCCAGCACAATTTTGATCAGGAAAAAAATTGTTTGTGCTTCTCACTTTGGTAAAACGCAAGAACAAAGGGAGCTTCCTTTTAAACAATAAGCGTTGCCCGGCTGTCGTGGATATTGATCGTGGGCCCTTGTACGTCCTCCAGGCCCGTGTCGCGGGCGTGCACATCGAAGTTTTCGCGCGGCTGGGTCTCCGAGGCGGGGATCATAGGGGTGAGGAGACTTCCGAGGTTGGTCCCTGTCTTGTCCCTGGCAGCTGCCAACGCCCATCTGGGAACGCCAAACCCAGAAACACCGCCGTCCGGTGCCCCCCCGCCAGGAGCAAGGTCTGCTGGATCTCAGACGCCCAGAGACGTTCTCCCTGTGCCAGGAGATCACGCCTCCTCTACTTCCCCCAAACCCTTGCCCACCCACCCCATAGAGGGAGGCCCTGACACACTCACCTGCAGTGGGCATCACAGAACAGTCTCTCCTGCAGGGAGAACCTGCAGCTTCTGGAATTCTGGTTTGGATACGCTCGCCTTCTCTCCGTGCCTCTCCCAGAGCCAGGAGCCAGGAGCCTGGGACAAGAAACTGGATGCTTTCTGACCCTGACACTTCCTGCTCCTTAGATCCTTGGTGCCAGCCAGACCTACAGTGCCTCTTGCACCTGTCAGCCCCAGGGTCCTATAGGCCCAAGCCCCGTGGCTTTTCCCACCCTGAGCTTCAGACAAGTGCCTGAGCAGCCCACGACTTGCCCATCCCAGAGCCAGAGGACCCAGGGCAGTACTGGAGTACTTGAGGACTTCCTCAAGCTCAAGGCTTGCTTCTGCCTCAAGGCACCAACTGGAAGGGTTCATTTTTCCATGGAGGAGCAGTTCCCCAACATCCAAGCAACCAAAGCCCAGACATACCCTTCCTTCCTCTACCCTAGCAGGGATGGTATGTGTTTTTCCTTCACCATTACTCTTCAGACATTTGCTTGCATTACAAGCCCATTTCTCACTTAATCGACACAACACTCCTTTAAAAGTCCTCAACAGGCCACAGTTCCTTTTCTCCCACAGTGATCGGGTAACCAGCGGTCTTGACTCAAATGGCCAGGCTCTAGACCAATTCTCCGTCCAAGGCTCTGTCCCTCCCTGGCCGGCAGGGATGCCTCAACACCCAACAGTGTCTTAACTGTCCATGAGGCCATCCTCCACAAACCTCCTGCCCCTTCTGGGATCTAGGTGGGTCCAGGGTCCCCTCAGAGAGGTTGCCCACCTGCCCTCAGTGGCAGTAGCCTCAGGGCCCACACACCTGGACTCTTCTCACAGTGCCCCACCAATGATTTCCCAGGAGGGCAAAGAGAAACCCTATCTGGAAATCTGGGAACCCCCACATGATAAGAATAATCACTGTTTTAGGCATTTCAGCAGTATTAGCTCTTTCCATCCTCACAATAGGCCCGAGGAAGAGAGTATAAATCATCGCTATTTTGCAGCTGAGTCATCTGAAGGAGAGACAAGGCCCACATATAAGTGACAGAGTCAGGACTGAACTTCTATCTATCCCTCCAGCTTCAAGTCCGCACTCACAACACCCAGAGCTATTAGAAAATCCCAAGCATTGCATTTGGAGCCTCTCCTTTTCAAAGCTCCACTTGTGTTTTTTCGCCAAGCCCTTTCCCCTGCCTCACTCCCGGATGAATTCACTGGGGTTGGGAGAAGTGGGGGGGGGGGGGTACAACTAACCTCCGGCCACTCAATTTGAGCATGGAGAAGAGTAAAGAAAAAGGTGGTACAAAACCATTTAGAAATGTATCCTGGAGGAGGCCTCCAGGTCTTGCCCTCTTTTAAGATGGGGATCAGAGGCTAGGTGGGGATTGTGCAGGGGCCTGCAGGGAGGCTGGAGCCACCCTGAGGGGTTTGGGGTGGGAGAGCCTAACTGCCCTCCCCAAGCAGGGGGGAATTGTTTACAGGGTGTGAGTTCCAAAATATCAGGAAGATAATCACAGCAAGTGATTCTGGAGACCCTAAGAGACAAAATCCAGTTGCTCTTTGACCACAGCAATCCACCAAGGCCCTGAGCCTCTATCTGGAAACGGGCAGACTCACCAGAGTTATCCTCGCCTGCTTTAGCCTCTTGGGAGTCATGGCCCCTTCGCATATCTGGCAAACGTCTCCCCAGAAAAATGCACCGAAGCATTAAAGTTAGCCTTCAGCTTCTAAGATTCCTGTACCCACAATAGCCCCACCCCAACCACCAAACCCCAGGCACAATCACCAAATCCCTTTGTGGTTTTACCAGGGTGTTTTCCCTGACAAGGCAGCTGCCTCCCTCGAACTGTCCTCCAGATTGATTGGCCCAAGGGACAAAACCTGAGGGTATGGCCAGGCCTCTCCACACCGCATCTGGCCTCAGCATATTGGTCAAGCTTTGCACATGCTTCCATTCAAAACCTAGTCACTGGAGGTGCATGCTGGGAAAGAGAATGGCCAGGCTGGGGCTTGGCTTGGCCTAAGGAGCCGTGGGGGAGGGAGGGGGGATCTGCAGTGCAGGGAATTGGCCGATTATTATCATCAGGGAGTCCTGTTCACCAAGGGTTCCTTTTCCCTGGGGAGGGGCAGGGAGTGAGCAGGTTTTCAGTTTTTGTTTTTTTAATAGATTTTGTCCGGGCACAAATCCTTTCCAAGCCCTGGACTGCCCAAAGGCCAGATAAGCCTGAAAACTCTGCGTGTGCTTCCCACTCTCACCCCGGCTCAGGAAGAGGGAACCGGCCCATTGCGGTCCGGTCAGGGTGGTCCAACCAGGGGACCCGGGAGCCGGATCCGGGTAGAGTCGTTACTCAATGGAATCGCTCTTCTACGACTCAGTTAGCCCTCAGTGGCCCTAATGCTCCCTCCCGGGGGCAGGTTTCTTTCCGTGAGTGATTCTGGGTGCTGCCTGACCGTGTGTGTCTGTCTCTCCTGTTTCCCGGGCCGAGGAGGCAGCACCCCCTTCCTCTCTCCCCACTGGGCCTTGCCCGGCCAGGAGACGCGGTGGCGCCGGCCTGCAAACGGAGTAGTTGGTCTCCCAGTGTAGGGGGTAGGAGAACCGCCCCCAGGCGAGGAAGTCCAACCGGTTGGGCGGGCTAAGCCTCGCCCTCCGGCGAAATGGAAAAACCCTTGTGTGAAGAGTGCTGGGGACTGATTTTTATAAAGCCCTCTCCTGACCCGGACCAGTTCCATTCCTCCTACTGGAGCTTCGCAGAGCCCTGATGGGGTACAGTTCCTGGCGTTGTGCAGCGGCGAAACTGACTCTTAGAAAGGTTGAGGAACTTGCCCCGGGTCACACAGCTGGGGAGTGGTCGAGCTAGGATTTTAACCCAAGTCGTCCGGCCTCCAAAAGCCAGATTCTCTCCGACGTTAGCGCCGCGCCCCCAGGGCGGAGGACTGCGTTCCCTAACACCGCAGACACAACTAAGGTGCCTTGGGTGTGATTGAAAGACGCGAACGCGGGCCACCCATCTCTGGCTGATGGGTGGCTGCGCCTGCAGCCCCCGCAGGGGCTGAGCGTCGGCGGGAGCCGCTCGGGCTGTTACCGTAAGTCTCAGAGGAGCGGGGCACAACGGGAAAGGTAACGAAGAGCAGGACGGGCCGGAGGGCGCCGCGACGTGGAGAGACTGCGTTCCCGGCTCAGAAGCCTGACCTTGAAGGAGTGAGGGTGCGCACGCGCCCGAGGCAGTGAGTTTCGGAGGGGAGGGTACTGGCTATTAGGGGCTCGTTGTAGTGAGGGGAGAGCAGGACGGATGTCAGCCCAGAGGACAGGGTGTCACCCACCCAGGACTGGATTGCGCGCACAGGCTGGGTCCGGACGAATCCCAGTCCTTTCTGCTCCCCCACAGGGCCGTGCCAGGTGCGGCCTGGAGCCCCCAGAGAGTCCCTTTCTGGCCTCGAAGCCGGTCGACCGCCCAATCCTGTCCCCACGGCCCCTTTCTGCGCCCTCTTCCCCTCCCCTTGCTGCGGCGGTGACAAAGCGCAGCTCCCGAATTGCTGTCTTGGTGCGCCCCCCACTGCCGACCGCCAGAGGCGGAAGTCGCGGTGCGTCCTCGCTGGCTGGGATCCCGCTACTCCACGAGGAGCAGGGACCCTCCCTGCTGCTCATCCCGGACAGCAGACTTCCGCTCCTTAGGGAGCCTCACCCCGCCCGAAGCGCCCGCCTTCTGAGCTTGACCCCAGGAAGAATGCGTGGCGGTTCGGGGCCCGGTAGCCTGGGCTTCTAGGGATAGGTAATCCACCTTGCGGGGGTGAGGGGCTGGAGGGAGCGAACAGTGCTCAGTATCTTCCCTCTTCCTTTGAAGGGGCAGTGGAACCCACCCCCAACCTGTCTAGCCCGGTAGAAGGCAGGCCATGTAGGGGGAAATGCCTTATAGATTCCCCGGGTCAGTCAGTATGATCAATCATGCTCCCAACACTTGTGTCGACTCTATTTGTCGTGGCCACAAAGCCCAGACATTGGGGAGCCCCTGGGACCACCGCGTCTCCACAGTCCTCAAACGATTCCTTTTTTGAGTCTCACTTAGTTCTGAAGCCCATTTATAAACAGCATAGCCTCCTAGCACCTCTTCCCCTTTCCCTTTGGCAGTGTTTCTTGAAGTGTGGTCCCTGTGCCACCTGGGAACTTGTTAGAAGTGTACATTCTCAGGGCACCTGGGTGGGTCAGTCGGTTGGGCGTCCGACTGCGGCTCAGGTCATGATCTCACGGTTCCTGAGTTCGAGCCCTATGTCGGGCTCTGTGCTGACAGGTCAGAGTTCTGTGTCTCCCTCTCTCTCTGCCCCTCCCCTGCTAATACCCTGTCTCAAAAATGAATGATTCTCCATTATGCTTGGAAAGGCTTTTTTTTCCCCCAGTGTACCTTGTTTTTGTTTGTCTATGGCACAGAACTTTATGCCTCTTTTTATTCACATTTGTTCTTCCCGCTTTATCGTTTCACTTGCGTGGATCTCTTCTTTGTGCACTAAGGTATCACCTAATGATGCCATTATTTAATTTAGCTTCTCACTCATCTTCGGGGTTCATCCACTGCCTAAGGACATGCCTCGCTTGGTAGCAGACCAGAAACTGCTCTGGAACCGCAGCCACTGGAGCAGAGCGGGGGAAACTTGCCCTCCACAGAGATTTCCCTCACAAAAGGGAGTCAGAGGCCTCCAGATGTGATTGGTTTCCTGGCTGCAGAGTAGAGAAGAGCAGATATTCCATGTTTGGGTACCCATCCTGCTAGAGCATGGAAAGAAGGGCCTTGGTGGGGATGAGGAAAGGTGAGGCACACAAATCGATTTTCTACGGGTTGCCTCAAAGGCTTTGGGGGAGGGACCCAGCCCCAGCTTGAGATACACAAGTATTTTTCTTTGTGGATGTCTCAAGATGGTGTCTTAGGCCTCTGTTGGTGGCTGGTTAAATGCAAGCCGTTTTAGGAGCCAAAAAGGCTCCCTGAAGGAAGATGGAGAAAATAAGGCAAAGGTGGGTTAAATGCTAACTCAAGATCACATGGCCTGTTGGTGGCAGAGGTGATATTTGAATTTTTAACATTTGTTCATTTTTGAGAGACAGAGCATGAGGTGGGGGGCAGAGAGAGAAGGAGACACAGAATTTGAAGCAGGATCCAGGCTCTAAGCTGTCAGCCCAGAGCCCGATTTGGGGCTCGAACTCACAGACTGCAAGATTACGACCTGAGCTGAAGTCGGACACTTAACCGACTAAGCCACCCGGGAGCCCCGGAGGTGATATTTGAATCCCAGTAGTGGGATGCCAGACGCCTGGCCCCTGCTCACTGGATTCAGCCCCTGCCCGTGGAAGCTAACAGGTCATGACCTGTCATCTCAAAGGATTGATTTAATTTCCAAACGTAACTAAACTAGTCAAAGCCCTAGAATAATATTACAGCGTCACCAGGCATTACTAATAGTAATATTAATAATAACTAACAGTTGGTCTTTTCCCACTCAGGTAACATTTTCACACCCACTGTCCCATTTGATAAAATAGTCCCATCTAATAGGAATAGGAATATTAAAATCATCCCCACTTTACAGATGAGGAAGTCAAGATCCAGAGGGGTTAAGTTCCTCCCCCCAAATCACTCAGCTAATGAATGGCAAAGCAAGGAACACCATTACCCCTTTGGCCATCATTGTCTTTGTTTCTTATTTTTTTCTTTCGGCTCATTCACAAACACTTTCATGCTTTCGTGTATCATCATATTAGTCTGTGACACGTCCCCCTCAGTTTAGGCTGCTCCAAAGGACTTCTATGTCTAGCATTTTATTCGCTCCTCCGAAGGTCCCTAATGAGGCAGAAGAGGCCAGCGTTGTTCTTTCCAGTTTCCAGTTGAGGAAGCCAAGATTCCAAGAGTTCAGAGGGCTTGAGTAAGGTCACGGAGCCACAATAGGAATCAAAGTCTCAGACTTTTCACGGGCAAGAGTGAATTTTGTAGAGAATCCCACAGAATGAATGAATCATTCTTACTCCCTGTCCCGTCCTTCAAGCCTGACAATGCTAATGGATGCCCAAAGGAAAGGCTGACAATTATGAAAAACTACCAGTTTACAAGTATTCAAAACCTAATGTGCTATCAGTGCAACTTAAAAAAAATTTTTTTTAAATGTTTATTTATTTTTGAGAGAGAGAGAGTGAGGGAGGGGCAGAGAGAGAGGGAGACACAGAATCTGAAGCAGGCTCCAGGCTCTGAGCTGTCAGCACAGAGCCCGGTGCGGGGCTTGAACTCAAAAACCCTGAGATCATGACCTGAGCCGAAGTCGGATGCTCAACCAACTGAGCCACCCAGGTGCCCCTGCAACTTTGTATTATAATAGACTTAAAGTTGTTTCATAACTTCCATTATTTGGCAATATGTCAACTTTGAAATGTTTTCCTAATTATTCTAGAGTCAGCCTTACTGTTCTTGGAAAGAATTAGAAGAGGAAAGAAAGGTCACTGCTTTAAAAATAGGCATGGAAAGAGCCAAAGGAACCCAGATCCAGGATGTAACTGTGCCCTGGTCTTCGGCCCTGAGGAAGGGGTCTGTACTTTCACAAGCGGCAACAGCCAGGCGACGATTTTCATCTTAAATACAGCCCATCAGCAACTGAAGAACCACATGACCTCCAAAAATTGACCAGTCTTCTTTGGATTCCTTCCTTCCGTCACAGCCCTCAGGCCCCCCCCCCCCCCCCCGCATAGGCAGCGGGAAAAAAGGAAAAGCTCATGTGCTCAGGCTCTAAGGTAAGAGCGTGACAGGCACACGTTCATTCATGTCTCACAGCAATCCCTGGAGGGGAGCATGGGTCTCCCCACTTTACGCGTGAGGAAACTGAGGCAGAGAGAGGTTAAGCAACTGGCCTGCAGTCCCACAGGCCTGAGGCAAACAAGAGCCAAAGGAAAACCCAGGCTTGTAAATATGCAGTTTAACTTCCAATAGCTATAAATCTACTTTCCCTAGGGATGTAAATTCTGAGATCTTATGATCCAGCAGGAAAGGAGCAGCAAGGAGCTGGTCTACAGTGCAGTGAGGCCTGGATTTTGAGTCCAGGAGGGAGAGAGACAGACCCCAGGGACCTTTGGGAAGGTAGAGGATAATCTATAGCTGCGATAAGAACAGAATCCATGGTGGAGGACTGCTCTCAAATTTTCCCAGCCAAGATTTCTGATACTTCAAAGACAGTTGGTGGCAAGTAGGATGATGTGCTTGGAAGCCAGACAGGCCTGAGCTTCAACCTCAACTCTGGCACTTACTGGCCGGTGACCTTGAGCGGACCAAAGCTGCAGGATGTCAGATCTAAGAAACAAGCCACCTGCCTCTCAGAGCAGATTTAAGGAGATACAGAATGGAAGAGGTCCTAGCACAGTGCCTGGCCTCCAGGGGGTCCTCGATGAGAGTAAATTCCCTGTTGTCCCCCCCTTGGCAATGCCCCTACTTCACCTCCTGTGTCTGTGATTCTCCTTTCTCAATATTGTACCCTTGGTGAGTGAGAACCAGCGGAGAATGTCAAGTGAAAGGGCATGGCCCAGGGAACCAATAATATGCTTGTGCCCCTCTCCCTGCATGGTGACTGACATTTCCCAGAAATAAATAACTGCATAGCATTCAGGCTTTCATGCATCTGTTGCATGAAATATGGCGGTAACTCCATTCACTGGGATCTGGGATAGTGAGAAGAAAATCAAGACACGACTCATGTGCTAATGGAATTGTCCCTTCATGGTAGTTTAAAAGCATAGGCAGGGGCGCCTGGGTGGCGCAGTCGGTTAAGCATCCGACTTCAGCCAGGTCACAATCTCGCGGTCCGGGAGTTCGAGCCCCGCATCAGGCTCTGGGCTGATGGCTCCGAGCCTGGAGCCTGTTTCCGATTCTGTGTCTCCCTCTCTCTCTGCCCCTCCCCCGTTCATGCTCTGTCTCTCTCTGTCCCAAAAATAAATAAACGTTGAAAACAAAATAAATAAATAAATAAAAAATAAATAAAAGCATAGGCAGATGATCCATAAATAATAATAAACGTAGTGGCAATGTGGTATAATGTATAATAGTTAAGTGCACGGACCCAAGTTAGATTGCTTGGGTTCTACTCCGGCTGTGCCGCTCACCGTGCTAGCTGTGTGATGTTGAACAAGTCACTTAACTTCTTTAGGCCTCAGTTTCCTCCTTCGTAAAATGGGGCCATATGAGGTCAAAACGAGTTGGCACGAGTTAGTACCTAGAAAGCACTTGAAAGCATACCTGGCATATAGTAAGCGTCAAAAAACAGTACTGTTATTACGGTGGGGTGTTACTTCCCTGAATGTGAGCCTAAGGGAGTTCTGTGAATCTGGAATGAAAAAGAAGAGGAGGAAGCAAGAGCCCTTTGCCTGGAGCAAGGATACCAGTGACTGCAACCTGCCTTCGGGGTTTCACTACTGGCTCCACGATGAGTGGGCTTGGAGGAGTCACTGAACCCTCAGGAGCTCCTATTTACTCGCGTGTAAAATGGGTGTGAATAACAGCTGCCTTACCTTCTTCTCGTAGTTATTGCCCCAAATAGAGCCCAATTGCCTGTCAGTTTAGCTTTTGATCTTTGAACTCATAAAGGTTTTCTTCTGCTCATTACGGGGTACGCCCTCCGGGAGGAGCCACATTTTAGGCCATTACCTGCTCAGTCCTTAGTGACACATCAGCACTTTACCAGTATCCTAGGAATGGGTGAGAGGAGGGCTGGAGACACCATTGAGGACAGGAGGAGAGCAGGAGTTGAGAAAACTGCCAAGACCCCTCACTCCCTGCACATGGTTAACTGAGAAGCATCCTGCCCGGTGCCTTACAGTAATGTCACTGGTTTAATCCCACAAGTCTTGTAAATTGCCAAAGGAGCATGGTCCCTGCCAGTCTCTTTTCTATTTTGAGGGAAGAGAGGAAGTTATGGTGGTGTGGGACTTTCTCCAGTATCTACGGGACGTGAATAGTGTAAGCAATGAAAGGAGGGCGCCATGTTGGGTAATTTTTAATGGGACTTTGGGAGATGGAGGGAATGCATTACAAAGAGTTCTCCTTTCTCCAGAGAGCTGACTTAAAGGCACAGCAAATTTGGAAAGCAATATTACCTGAATCCTCCTCACCAGCTTTTCCTCCCAGCTTCTTATTCCTATGCCCAGCAGAAGATTCTGATGCTATTAGTCTTCCTGGTGAAGGTTCCAGGAATCCCCAAAGGACACTTCAGTTTGACTCAATCTAAATAATATTTACTGCGATCCTACTGTGTGCCCCACCCTGAGCTAGTCACTTGGTAACAGAGTTACTGTGACAGAGACAGCCATCTGCCCTTCTTTCATGATGAAAGAGCATCCAGACTTCAGCCGTCCACGTGGCTTTCAGGTCTAAACACCACATTCCTCTATCTCTCTTGCAACTAGTAGATTTAGGACTAAATTCAGCAGACTAAATGTCATCAGGAATGTCATATGGCAGCTTCCTTACGAAACAAACCTATATGGCGAATTATGTAACATCGTCACAGAACTTCAGGTTACACTAAACTTTTTTCCAGGCAGGTGGTGAACCAAAGAAAAAGTTGCTAAAGTACCACCAGCGAACTAATTACTTTTATGTATTATACCTTATGCCACCTATAAGAATTTGTTTTGGGGCGCCTGGGTGGCTCAGTTGGTTGGGCATCTGACTTCGGCTCAGGTCGTGATCTCGCGGTCCGTGAGTTCGAGCCCCACGTCGGGCCCTGTGCTGACAGCTCAGAGCCTGGAGCCTGTTTCAGATTCTGTGTCTCCCTCTCTCTCTGCCCCTCCCCCATTCATGCTCTGTCTCTGTCTCAAAAATGAATAAACGTTAAAAAAAATCTTTTTTTAAAAAAAGAATTTGTTTTACCTGTGCAGTGATAACATCTCAGTGAGGTATTGTGGAGGGGTTGTGAAGAAGGCAAACGAGAAGTTTCCCAGGAGATAGAATGACGACGAACAAGCCTTTCTCAGAAGACCAGTTGCAAAAAACAGCCAACTCTTCTGATTCTATTCTGTTCTCAATTTGCTGTGAGACTTTGAGTGAGCTATTAAACATCTTGGACCTTATTAAAGGGGGTGGTAATTTCACGTAGAGTGGGTGTTGCTAAGCCTTCTTGATTTTAAATCCAAACTCAGCCTCTCCCACCAAAAAAAAAAAAAAAAAGTGTAGCTTTTGTAAGCTGTTCACTTACTGCTGGGGAGGTAAAAGGATATGTCTGAAGAGCTATTGCAGTTATAAATAGATATTCCATATGCCAACTTAACATAAATGCCTCAAACTTTTATTTCCTTAATGGAGAAACATCAGGATCTCTGGCCTGTTTTACATGCTTTAGCCTTGGGTGGGAAATGCCCCGAAGTAAAATAAGAGGCCATTTCAGAAGTATTCCTCCTTTCCCACACGACTTATTGTCTCTAACAACTCATTTTCCATCCACCGTGTTTCCCTGTACTGGTTTTATGGTAGGGGAGTCTCCACCACTGTGGGCCCTCTGCTAGTCTAGCCAATTCTTTCTGGCTTCCCAGTGAAACATGGAGGACAAAGCTCAAAATGATGACAGGACTGGCCATGTGATGTGGCTGTTACTTTTCTGGTTTCCATCTACCCTGCAGGTGGCAAGTTTGAAGGTTTGGGGAAATTCCCTGACGGCTGAGATGCACCAATTTCCAATGGGACCAGATTAGCACATTCAACTATAATTGCCACCGTACTGGCAACGTCAATTTTCAGGCTGTGCATGAGGATGAGAACAGCTACCCACAGGTCTGTAAAGTTTCATACACAAGAACCCAGCACCTGAAAACTGAAACTAAGATGCATGCCAGCCCCTATGGATTACACTCTCCATTCCATAGGTATAGATGGAGGCAAGAGATGTTTGGCTGGTCTGACCAATGACTACTAGGTCGAAAGCCCAAGAGCCCAGGTAAGAGTTACGTGCAACATCTATGGCCAATGGCTATACTGTATTGAGGCCCTGGGCAGCCCAGAAAATTGGCCAGTGGTTCAAGAAGGTGGGCTCTAGACCCGTTCTTGCCATCCCCTGGCTGGGTGACCTTGGATAAGTCGTTTCACTCTTATGGGCCCTCATCAGTGGATAGAGTACCAATCCCAGTTCCACCCCACACTGGGAGACCTTAGCCAACTCACAGCCTGGAGTATCAGAGGAAGCTAAAGGGATTTCTTTTCTTTTCTTTTCTTTTCTTTTTTTTTTTTTTAATGTTTTATTTATTTTTGAGAGAGAGGGAAACAGAGAATCCCAAGCAGGCTCCATGTCAGCACAGAGCCTGACATGGGGCTTGAACTCATGAACCCTGAGATCATGACCTGAGCCGAAGTCAGATGCCTACCATCTGAGCCACCCAGGCACCCCAAGGGATTTGTTTTCTAGGGTGTCCCCATTATGGTATTCTGTGACTCCGCCAAGGACACATACTAATGCCTATGGGGGCAGCCTGGTAGTAGTGATGAGAAAGATGTCCTTGATCATGTTAGGAACTGGAGAAGACTGGATGACAGATTCTCAGCTCCAGAACTGATTGTGTTGCCAGATATTTCGTTTTCAAATGGTGTCACATGTTGTCAACTAATGTGAATTGTTATAAAATTCTGTCTTGGCCAATGACTCGAGTCCAGAAGTGGCCTACTAGGTCAATTGTGGAGTCTTCTGCAGCCCACTGACCGGAGGAAGAGTCAAACTAGGTGGGGACCTGGTGGGGGGAGTGGTGGATGCAGTGTCCCCTACTTGGAGAGCACAGATGATCCTGGCCAAAGGTGGGCTGGCGAGTCTGAACGGCACCGCGCTGTCGCTCCTACCCCAGCTGCCGTTTCCCCAGCGCACCTGAAACGGCCGACCCCGGTGGCCGGGGGACCGGGGTTGGGGGCGGGGGGAGTGCTGGGGAGGGGTATTTTCCTCTACCAGAGGCGGGGCCTTATTCTCCACCCAAAGATGCGCCTGCCGGTCGCAGGCAGAAAAGGAATGTGTTGTGGGCAGGCACTGAACCATCGCGGTGTCAGGCGTCGGCTGTGGGTCCCCTGCCTCGTGGGTGCAGCCACACCCGAGACGCCGAGACGCGCGGGGATGCACTTTGCAAACACCAGTGCGGGCAGGTGCGGGGTGGCGCCGCGCGCGCGAGCGGGGCAGCTCCGGGCGGCTCCGGCAATTCCGGCAGCGCGCGCGGCCCAACCTGCCCAGAAACCCCAGAGCGCGCGGCTGGCGGGCGGCTGGCGGGCGACTCGCGTCGCGGGCGTGACGGTGGCAGGGCGGGCGGGGGGGCCTGCGTGCAGCCGGGAAGTGCCCTGAAACGAACGGTGCGTATTTGTTGGGAGGAAATTCGATCCTTGAGCCCTTTCCTGCCTGGGCTTAAAAATGGATTCTCCACCTGCTGGGAAAGCCTCGGGCTCCGGGCGGCGGTATCCGGCTCCTGGGAGTCCTGGGGGGCCCTCGCTCCACCTGCCACTCGGCTCTGACACACATTAGCGCTCGCTGACGTTGGTGTCCCTTTCAAAGCCCCCTCACCTATTCCAGCCAAGCCCAGAGGAGGTGATGCTCTGTCAAGTTCAAAGAAAGAAGCCAGTGGTCTGTATAATCCAGAGTTCTGTT